CAGCCTCCGTCAGGATATACGGCGCGTACTCGCTGCCTCGGAACGACTCAAGCTTGTAGCGTGCGTTGGTGGCGAAGATAGCGGCTGCGGGCGGACCGCCAAAGAATTGCCGTAGTCGAGGTATGGTAAGGTACCCTTCGTGAGCATGATGGATGGTGCTGATGTGGAACTTGAACTGATTCGTCAACTGGGCTAGATTGTTGTAGTCGACTGTTTCGTATGAATGCGAATTTCTGTGAATGTGTGTTAGAAAACAGACATGTTTGGCGCCGAAGCTACATTGCTCACACGTTTACCTTGCCTCTGAGAATATCCACAAGGAGCTCTTGCGCAATGTCGTCCGGGAATTGCTCGGTATTTTCCTCGCCCTTGGCGCACCAGTCATCTTGAGCTTGCTTGAGGTTTGAGGCTTCCTGAAACTTCTGCCGAAGATGCCAGATAGAGTCGAGCCGAGTCTGAGAGAAAACTCTGCTAGGATTCTCTCTACACATGGTGGATAAGACCTTATCAGTGTAGGAACTGCAAGAAGTCCAACAGCAGACTTGACTTACCCGAATGCAGTCTTGACAAATCGCTTGTAACCAGTCCGAACGAAACTCTGGTTGGCTGTTCCATCGTAGACGAAAGGCGGCTCTACCATGAGAGCTGCTGGACTGTCGATCTCTGTCTTTCGAAGTTTCACCACGAATGCTTGTCCTCCCATGGAGGTAGCGCTACCAGGCAAGATCAGGTTGGTAGTGACACCACCTGAGATGATCCACTCCGAGGCCGCATCGTGAGTATTGAATCCATTGATGGACATCAAGTAAGGGTTGACATCAGCAGCAACCGAATTGGTATCGTCTGATCCTTTAAGACTAGGTGAAGCGTCGACGCCTGCATGTGAATGCCTGGAGGATGTTTCACCAATGAGTGAAGATCGGAATTAAGCATGAGATGATGTGGAGACTTACATATCCACGATACCGGGCGTGACCCATCGACCTTCTAAATCGATCTCCTCTACAGCGCCATGCAAAAGACTCCTGACATCCGTTTCTGTTCCAACCGAGACCACTACACCTCCTCGTAGGTAGACTGAAGCGCCGTATAATATTTCCTCCCCGGCGTTTCTACCAGTCCAAACGGTTGCATTCTTCAGCATCACTGGCGTTGCACTTTTGGGTTCAAATCGGTCGCTGACAGTTCTGTTGACCCTAAAGTCGGTGGTGTCCGGAGGCATGAGCTTTATGGCTTCACATTGGAGGAGACCTCGTTTGACGATATCGGAGATGGGAGGCTTCGGAGTCGGTCCAGGGTGAGGAAAGTAAGGGGTATGACTGAAGTATCCGAGGATGAGAAGTGAGATTGCGAGCCCTGAGAGGTGCAAGGGGGAGGTCAAGCGAGATCGGACAGGATGGTCTTTGGTAGTGTTTGGCGTCGGCAGAGACTCGACATCGAGTTCCTTTTGTTGTTCCGAGGAGTGACTCAGGTGAATCGGCCCTCTCTTGTACACCGTCGACATGATGGGCAGGCGAGGTCTGATGAAGCAGAGAAGGTAGATGTCAAACTCAAACCATGCCGGAGGAGGATGCATATATAAAGGTCACAAACTGCAACCCACATGTCGACCTGTGTGGTGAATTTCGCACAAAGCCGATAAAGGATCGGATAGCGTCGTATAGCTTCTTTTATTAGCTCGTCCAGGAAACTTAGCAATAACTTGGTAGCGGCTTTCATTGGTTCGCACAGGCACAAATGCCGTCTCCACCACCGCCTACTCGCTATTCTTACATATGAGGACAATCTATGGAACCTTCATATCTATCCAGCTTGCTCGTATGAAACACATCCAAAGCGACGTCGAGCGGCACGAAAATGTCGTCGTCTCGGACGTCTTGAAAAAACCCGGCAATCGTTTGTAGATCGGGTTTCTCCAGTCTGTCCTATTCGGTCAAGCTCAATCCCAGTCTTTCGTGGACTTCTGTGACCGTCGTGCCCGTCAGTAAGGCATACTGTTGTGTAAAATCATCCGGCGGTTCGCGTCATTCCGGACGTAGATGATAAGCGGCGACGATATATGCCAGAGTGAGTAACGCAAACAACGACAAAAGTTCAGGTTTGATTAGCGATTGTTACTATCATGCCTGGTCATATCTACTGACTCGACCGATTAGAGCCTGCGCTCCATCCCTGAAAACAATGAGTTCCAAACAGGTGTCAATGTGGACCATCGCGAAGCGCTCGGTCAAGGGGAGTTGAGCATGGTAAACTTACTTGACCTCGTTGTACGTATGCAACAGCTCAATGTGACCCTGGACCAAGCTGGCCGCGTCAGTATCTCTGGTACAAACAAACATGTTGAGCAGCACACTCCGATTGCCAAAGTTGTCGCTCGCAAAAGTTCCTCACCCAAGCTGCTTTTCCAAATCCGCGATTTCTGCTTGGAGGACCTCCTTTTTGACTTCGAGGGCAGCCGTGCGACCGGAAGGGTTCTAGTGGCGAAGACTGTACGGGTCAGCTACGAGGACAGCCTTTCTTTCGGTAGTGACCGTTGTCGTACCTTGTCATTGGTGCGCATCATCCTAACCAGCCGATCTCGGTTTCAAACAATGCTCTTGGTACAGAGACGACGGAGGGAATCGCTGTTTGTATCACGGCGATGTGAGGTGCGAGTGGAAGATGTACTACGTTGCAGAATAGTGAAGTATTTGACGCGGGTTCGTGAGTCGAGTCGGCGAATTGGTGGGTTGTGATGAAGCGCACAACCTATAAGTGCCGACAAAGCGATCGTTTCCCCCTATCAGGTCTCTGTGTTTGCGACTTTGCGTGTGAGTCGCAGGCGCACAAAGGATGTATCAGGGGGAGGATCGGGGGTAAGGGGGTAGCATTAAGAAGGCACAACCATGGTACAAATGGCAGGTAGCTTATGGACGGTAGTGGGCTGGGGTCGTCACGGTAATCAACGCGAGGGGAGTATCAGGGCAAATGAACATCGATATTATAATCCTGCTGCTATAGCACAGACGTCCTTCCCACACCTTCTCTTCGTGCTTGACGACTATTCCGTTGCAATCGCTGTGCTCCCCGCCTTCTTCAAGGTTGACGCCTGACGCAGCATTTCAGATTGTCTAAACCTCCAGTAGCTGAGCAGATTCCAGAAGGTAGAGGGCATAAATTTGAGATGCGATGGTGATTAGAGAGACAGGGAGAGAGACTCACGTTTTTCTCATGACATCCCACCGTTCAGCTAGCTCGTGATAGAGTCCACCGGCGTCTGTATACGCCTCGCTACTTTCTGCAGCTGCCGCTTGTTCGGCTTTGCAATCCGCCAACCACTCTATAGCGAATGGCACTGGCAGGGGCGTGTCGGGATTTGCCGGAGTTGTGACTGGTGGCGGATTTTGTGGAATGAACGAAATGATGGAAGGAGCTGGTATTATGCTGTATGGAAGAATCGCAGGGAGAGACTGAGACAATGGAAGCTTGAAATGTTTATGAATTCTATTCATCCAATAGATCCAATAGATTAGACTCCAGAAGAAGGCAGTCTGTCAACATGACTTACCCGCGCAAATAGTTCCAAGCCGATGCGTTGTGTGGGATTGTGCGAATTTGCGACAAGGCGTATCTTTCGAATAGACGTCTTCGTTAAGCCAAGCCCACGCCTAAACCCTCTGAACGGGTGACTCACTCTAGTTCAGCTCCAACATCTGGTTGTGCTCCATTCCTGGCAACCACAAGGTACCATCTCCAGCTCCAAGCCGAGTTGTTTCGACCATCCCCACGACCGATCACTTCTCCTTTTGCCTCATCTTCGCCCGATAGCAATTGGACTTTCTCGCCCAACCAATCATGACCCTCTTGTGAGGGAGAGCGTATAAATCGATGATCGCTATCAAGCATCCGTTCACACCACTCCAGTTCCGCCTTCCAAGATTGACTCGAGAAACGATTCCCCCCTCGTTCCTCTGGCAAGTTTGAAAAACTCGAGTATAGCCAATTCAGATAGGCCCATGTATGATAATTCTTGGGGTCGGGCATCAGTGAGTCGTGAATAAAACCGATTTCTTTCACGAGTTCCGGAAGTTGTGGTTCCATTTGGGTGATAAGGGTAAGACGGTGATGCCTGGTCACAAAGGAGGATCGGGCTCAGTCGGGAAAGGCGTACGGGGCTCGTCGTAACACTTACCAGACTTGATAACTTTTCAAGTTCTCCTCTGCAAATTCGTTCATCAATTGGAGCTCCTGCCGCAAATCCTTTTGCAACGCCAACAAGGTGCTCATTCTGTACTGCCTGTGAGCGCATGAGCATGTTTTGGTAAATGCTACAAGCAGGAGTCTCCATCACTAGCCAACGTACCAGACCGTGTAATGAGCAGGATTCCGCCGAATGATATGCTCCGTAAGATCCAGCACCCGGTCTGAATACTCTTGAGCCAAAACGATGGCCCGGAAATAATCCATCGCATCGGAATCTTTTCAATGGCAATTTCAGTGGAATGTCGCTGGTTGTCCTTGACTGGCGGACTTACATTCCCTGGAATACGTAATGGGTACCAACCCATCCTGAGCGTCCTGTTGTGGGACAGGCTGTACATCGTCCCACTCATGACGCTCTCCGTATGGCGTATATGCTTCTTCACCAGACTGCTATCGAAATACGATGGTGAGCTCGGGTGGCTTTGGCTAAGCCCTGCGCGATGCTCTGTATTTGACTGACCATGGTTGAAACTAATCGGGCTAAGTTATGCGACGTCCAATTTTGGTGTTGATTTGCAAGAAATAGGGCTGGCCGAGGCGATTCAGACGATAGAGGAATCTGACTGTGTTGATGGTATCACGATCTCTGAACGCTACAACAGAACAAGGCTGGCTGCAGAAACAGAACAGAAACAGAGAACAATGAATTCACAGTCGACGGCGTTGAGCGAAATCGCTGTTGTTAGGGCTAGCGATCGAAACCGTCCCTATTCTCAATAGCCATTGAGGTGAAAAGGGGAAGCAGCGGCTCTGTGCAATGCGGCATAGTGTAGCGGTTAGCACCTTTGGTTTTGATGTTACAATAATATATCAGTTCCAAATAACCCGAGTTCGAATCTCGGTGCGGCATCTTTTTAACCACGGTGTCGAGGCTAGATCTTTTTATCTGGTTTTCGGGAATACGAAGGGAAAGTGGTCCGTGTGATCCGCAACATCCCCTGATCATGTACCAAGCTAATTTGCGGTAGGGGGAGCTGCGAGCTCTCCTCCTTGACTCTGCTCAAGCTGATTCTGGTGAAAGCAGAATATTCTCTCCACTCTCCACGCCTCTTTTCCCCGCGAGAGACTCAAAAAAAGCTACCCCTCCTGTTGTCTAGCTTGTTGTCATTTGTCTTATTGTCGGTCTTATTGCACTCCGCACTTCAGAGTACTTTGGCTCACGTCTCAATTGTCCATCTTCTACATTCGAAAGGGTTATCTGGACGTTGATGCTCGAGAAGCATAAAAAATACTAGCCGCTACACCTAAGCCAGCTAAAAACCAGTCGATGCGACGCCGGTCTAATCTCTAGGCTCCGGCTTGCTAGATAAAAAGATGCCGCACCGAGATTCGAACTCGGGTTATTTGGAACTGATATATCAACATCAAAACCAAAGGTGCTAACCGCTACACTATGCCGCACTCGTGTGCTCTGGCAGACTGTGAGGATCCTCTGAATCACTACTCAAAAATGTTCCGCTTTAGACTCGGCCTCAATACCTGCAGCCTGCAACCTTTTCGACTTCTGTGTTCATTAGCCGCTGCTTTGGGCTCATCTGCACTGCATCCATTCATAAACTGCTGCCGTTGAGCAACAAATGGAGATTGTATATAAATTACAAATGCTGCGTTCGAGAGAAATCCCTCGTTTAATACCCTTTTCTATTATGGGATTTTATCCTGCTGGCCGGCATTCTTCTGTAGACCTCAGCCGACCCATATCACCTTTTTGTTACTTGGCCGGACAATCGCCTTGGGGGCAACATGCCGCCAATGTTGAGTTGGCCACGATCGGCCACTCGCAGCCGCGCATAATAAAGAAGGGCACTCCGTGTGTATCGCGTGCAGGCAGGTCTGTGATCCGTCTCCTGAACTTCCCGGCAGTTCAAGGCAAGGCGTCTCCTCAGCAAGGACCTATTTCATTTGCAAGAGTTCCATTATGGCCATGAGCAATCCACTCCTCGACAGAGTCGCAGTCACGCCGCGCAATTAAAGTCCGGCACAAAGGTTTGCCACCTTGGGTGCGCTTTATCTATGGTCGACCGCAATTACAGGGGCGGATCCGATAGTGTGCTACGCAAAGACAGGAAGCGAAACCGATGCGATGCGTTAATGAAAAAAAAAAGTCAAGGAAGATTTCCGAAGGCCGAGTGCGACCGCGTACAAGTAGCGCTCAAAGACAAACCGCCTGCGACCGCAAAATAGCAAAGACCCTGCAAGACGGTCGAAGCATATGGAGTTTGCACGGCCCTTGGTATCAGGTCAAAGATGACATCGTGCAGTACTGGCACGAGACGACCCAGAGGAACTGCATTTTCTTTATACCTCTACACCCTAGACTTGTTTGATCTCAATTCACCAGTGTCGGTTCCACGTGTTGAACAGTTCACATTCACATCGCATCCTCGTGATCGAGGTCGTGTTAGCATGTCAATCACGGGGTGTCCTCGTCCCTAGAGTGGTAACATTCACGCCAGTAGACTATCCTTGAGACTATCCTTGTTCCAAGCCATTCCCTCCTTATCAAGAATGCCGTCCAATGCCTCTTTCCGGAGATAGCGACCCATACCCCTAGAGAGCCACCGACTACAGTCCTCCACGACCATTTCAGTTTCCAGGCGCTCTCATCGCGATGTCCGACATGTCTGCTTTATATTTGCTGGATGTGATGTCTTGACATGAAGCGTTTTCGAGACGACACAGCGCAGTGCCGTCTGCGCGGCTGGTTCGCAATCGTCCCTGGCATCCACTCGTCGACGTGGAAAAAACAAATACCAACACATTGCACTCGGCATCAAAGTATTCCCACTGTGGCGGTCCGCAGCCACCTGTTATGACTTGTCCTTACGGCAGATCTACTTTGGAAAGTGTTCATAGTCAGAATTGCATAATGCTTACAACAAGCCATCTCCAGAATTTCTCCAACAATAGCACCAACAGCGCTACTGGTTCACTCTAGAAGAAACGCCAGTAAATGAACACAAGCATGAAGAATGCAATTCCTGCTACGGGTGCCCATTTTCGCAGCATGGCTTGCAGATTGATATTCCGTGCTGCTTTGCGGTATTTGGCTGATTCCGACCGAAGCGAGGTTGATAGTGTCGACATACCTACAAAGCATGGTTCATCTTATCAGCTTCTATAGCGACTCACCTTTCCAGTCAGACTCACGATCCAAGCTATCTCCTCTCCATAACAAATCTTCCATATTCTTGGTCATGATTCGAGTCACATCTTGTAGCTCTGCATTCATCTTATCAAGATTTGAAGATCCTGGCTGGACCTCTGTTGAACCATGGGCCAGGGCATTTGTCTGCGCCGTTCGTGTGTCCGCATAGAGGCGCGTTGTTTTCGAGATGAAGGTGTCTACGAACGGACGTTGATGAGATACGGTTCGGTTTCGAAACCCCGCTAAGCTTACCGAAACCCCTAAAGCTATACGGTCTGTTGGCACTGGCAATCTGGCTTTCATAAGACCGCTGGAATTCCTTCGATAGCTCATCTAGGTACGAGAACGCTAGTTTTCTCGGATACGATTTATCGCAGATCGTCAGATACGCAACTTGATTCACTAAAAGGTAGCTAAAAACGAGTGATACGTTGGAGTCAGTCCACTGCCGAACCAAGACATATGTATGGCTCACTGGATCAGAAAGTTCCCTGTTTCTATTGAGCACGCTGGTTCGCTCTTTTCCGTCAGTCTTCTGCTGATAAGTTTTGACTGTTGCTTCGGTTCCGCCAGTTGTTGCTCCGACTACCACAGGGAAGTAAAAAGTCAAGTCCACGAAATTACGGTCGAATACTCTGCCTTACATACCCCATTGTCGTCCACACTAGCTGCGAGAGGCAGACCGTCGGGAACCCTAAAAATCATTGTGGACCGAACCATTTTGCTTCTTGAAAAAAGATGATGTCTGCTGGAAGGTAGTAGATTTCGTGAACGGCTGTCCTAGCAGCGCGATGTGAGGTGAGGTGGGGATGACGATTACAGAGAGACCACGCTTCAAAGCTCCACATCATCATCTGTTTCCTATTCACACCAAACATTACCACCACCACCCCCCACTCGGGGAACCGGCCGCCGCAGTCGATCGCCAAGAAGAAAGACACGACATCAAAGTCTGAAACACGCAAGAGTGCTCACCATTACGGTATACTTGTAGCTAGTTTCGTACAAGTTGTCTGTTATCTGCATCGTCGGCATCGCCATATAACCCAACCAATATGCCCAGGTGAGTTTTACCACAACATCCCGGAATTCACGTACAAGGCTAATCCCGGCCGCAGATCCCGCAGTTCATCGATATCCTCAAATGAGCTATTTGAAGAGCTCGAGAACAACATTGAACAAGGAGAAGGCAAAAATGATTCGGCTTTTGATTGGGGAGCGTTCAGAGAAGCTCGTCTCCAGCAGATGGCGGACGACATGGAACGTACCAAGAGTTTGCAGCGACAAGGTGGAACAGATGAATGGTATGGATTCTACAGGGAGATCAAGGAAGAGAGGGATCTGATACAGCGTAGTTCGTGAGTTTCGGCTTGGAAGCGTCAACATGCTTATGCCCGCGCTGAAGCTTAGTTCACCACCAGGAAAGAAGAATTTTGTATCATACACTTTTTTCACCCAGATTTCCAACGTTGCGCAATTATGGACAAGCACCTGCAGGTGAACACGTTGAATCGACATCTGCAAAGACATCCCTAACATTGCTTGCGAACAGACTCTAGCACCGAAACATGCAAATACACTATTCTTGCGGACTTCGGTGGATAATGCACCGTTTTTGGTGAATCGTCTTGGTGTCAAAGTCTTGCCTTGTGTGATCTCGTTCATCAACGGAAATGCGACAGATAGGTTGGTGCCTTTTCAATCCGCTTTTGTGATGAACGACCACTCACATACCACGTGATTTTTCCGACAGACTTATCGGGTTTGAAGAGCTAGGAAATGATGACAAGTTCTCAACGGCGGCTCTCGAATTCCGGCTCAAACGATCAGGTCAGTCTCCAGGACCTGCGTGACGAATGTCAGGCCAATGTGTTGACGAAGGACTGGTTTGCATAGGCGTCTTGCCTCCTCCCGGATATAGAAAGGTGACCAAGCTGGAAACATTGATTCCAGGCATGGCCAAACCTAGGGGAGACAATAGTGACGAGGACTATGACTCGGGGAGCGATGGAAGGCACGCGAATACTCGGCGCCAGAAAATTATCAGGAGTGTCAGAGATAATACGCGATCACGCCGCGGGAAAGCGGGTGACGACAGTGACGACGGTTGGGATTGAGACCTCATCCTCCATCAGATTTGCTTGTATCCAGTTCAAAGGGTTGTAATGAATAACACGCTTTTGCCACATGTATAAAGATCATGGTACCTCGGTGCACAAGTTCAGTATCTACCAGACGGAGCCTGATGCGCGGGCAGGGTGTAGTAATTCTGGTGTGCGAAGTAATTCGGACTTGGGTTATCGTTCGGCGGATTGAAGCCCGAGGGTTGGGTATCTCCATATCCCCCTGGAGCGTAATTTTGCGGATATGGTGGTCGGCTCCAAGACGATGTTGGATCAGAGTAATTTCGTTGATCGGTGTAAGCTGCGGAAGCAACCATGGGCGATGGCGATCTGACCGTGGTGGATAGCTGGGCAGATGGCGCTTCTCCAACGCCCAATGAACGCAGATAATTTCTTCCTGGTCTCGAATCGGGATCATTGGGCATCCAGGCTGAGGACGGGCCAGCTAGCGGTGGACCACATGCCGAAGGATATACATGCGGCTGGTGATGACCCGCTGCGTCTGTGTGAGAATGGCTGGCAGGCATAATCTGGTTCATCTGAGGATAGGAAGTGGAAGCATCCAATGATGAAACTTGT